ATATGAATTGCTTTGGTGGACAGACAAACAAAGATAGCAAACCAAGCTTTGCCAAACTTCGGTGTCCGACCTACCGATGTTTGATAATAACTGGTCCAGCGTAATCCAATCCAGAATGCAGAAAACAGCGGGTGGGCTGAACCCGAAAAGCGGGAAGATCAGCCATGAGTTGTGTGCTCGTACCTTTACGCTGGAGGAAACAAATCTTGCAGTTGAATACGATTTTCCGGACTATGTTGCGGGCACCGAGAATCCAATACTTCTGTCTCAAAGTGTGGAACATAAATTCAACTCCAGCGTGTAGCGATGTGACGTGCTGGTGTCTAGCTAATAAAACAGCGACTGGTGATTCCTTTGGTAGAAGTATGGGATGTTTTGCCTCGTAAGTTGCCATTGAATTGTCAATGCGTCCTCCTACGCGCATTGTTCCTTGGTCGTCAATAAATGGAGTGTAGCGAATCAGTTTGGATTTTTGAGAAAGTGGTCGTCCAGTGCTTAGCTGCTTGTACTCCACTTGGAAGAACTCCATCTGAACGTGTTTGATTATCCTAGAGCGTGCATATTGAAGCTCCCATGATGATAAAAACGATGACAGGCGTTCCTTGCAGCGAAGACGGTGTACAAAACGAAAGCAGTAGCTTATTGTCCGCAAGAGATGTGACCAGGAGGAAGCCTTGTTAATCATACATTGAAGATCATTTCCTTCATCGGAAATGTGTAGATTAACTTGAGGCTTGACCTTAACTTCCATGTGCGCAGCCTCCTCAGTCGACAGTGCAAACTTTGCCTTAGCAGGTGGCCAAGTGAGCCGTGATTGTGAAAGCCACGGTGGTCCATTCCACCACAGTTGATGTCTACAAGATCCCTCGGTAAAAGTCCGCGTGATGCACAGTCCGCGGGATTATCCCAGTGCGAATGTGATTCCAGCAACTACGTGGACAAGCATCTAGAATCTCAGCAGTCCGATTGCAAACATAAGTGTTCCAAGTCCGAGGGGGCGATGAGAGCCAATGCAGCACAACTTCTGAGTCAGACCAACATGAGGTACTGGAAATAGGAATAGTTAGTGCTTGCTTAACCAGAGACATCAATTTTGAAAGAAGATGGGCTGCATTCAATTCGAGCCGCGGAATGGATACAGGTTTGATGGGCGCAACACGGGTTTTTGCGGCGATCATTCTGACAACATAGTCCTTATTGAGTTTCACGCGACTGTAAATAACAGTGGCGTATGCATGAGAAGACGCATCGGCAAATCCATGCAGCTCCGCTGCTTGAAGTGGTGAGGATATGTAGCGAGATATGCGACACGTTTCCAATAAATGAACTTCTGCTACAAACTGTTGCCAACGTGAACATAACTGCACCGGTAGTGGCTCGTTCCATTCGACCGAGCTCAGCCAACTATCTTGAAAGAGAACCTTTAGAAATACAGTACTGGGGGCAAGCAAACCCAAGGGATCGTAGATCTTGGCAAGCTCCGACAGCAGAATCCGTTTTGTCAGAGCAGTTGTGGCGTCGGGAATGGTCAGCTTGAAGGAAAGATTGTCAGCAGCCGGGTCCCAACGTATTCCAAGAACCTTCACATGTTGAGCTGGGCTTTCTTCTTCTAGAGCTTCAAGGGGTACTCACAAATGTCCTTTGGCAGCGATTGTAGTAGTGGCCAACAGTTTGAACTCCACTTTCGAAGTTTAAATTGAGCTCGACTCAATAACAAAATCAATTCATCCTTGAGTGCAATGAGTTCGTTGATATTATCGCATCCCGTAGGAATATCATCCACGTACGCGTCCCTTACCAACACCGCAGCAGCATTCGGATACAACTCGGCATGATCTTGAGCGATTTGCTTGAGAACTCTAACAGCCAGAAACGGTGAAGACGCTAAACCATAAGTCACGGTCAGAAGTCGGTAATGATCAAGTGTAGCAGTCTCCTCCTTTCGCCAGACAATACGTTGGTACTGCGTGTGTTCTTCTGAAACTAGGATGCCTCTAAACATTTTCTCAATGTCTGTACAGAACACATAACGATGCTGTCGGAACCGTAAACAGACTCCAAGTAAATCCCTTTGAATAGGTGGTCCAATGTGTAGTCGTGAATTGAGTGAATATCCCTTGCAGTCCTCCCCAGAGCCATCAAACACAACTCGGCATCTCGTAGTGGTGCTGTCTGGTTTAAATACTGCGTGGTGTGCTAAATAATTGTGACTGGCGAGATCCTCGGCTAAGGTAGTAGGAGGAATCAACTCCCATGTGTCCTCGTTGTAAGTAATCCTCCATAAAGTCGACATATTGTTGTTTGAGTGCCGGAAACTTTCGAAATTTCCGTTCGAGAGAAGAAAAGCGGCGTATGGCTTGCGGCAATGTGGATCCCATCGGCGAGCGGAATCCTTGAATGGATATTGGACGACGTACACTCCATCGTCTCTGGAATGCGTTTGAACGAAGTGTTGTTCAGCGGGATCACTAGCGTCAATGGTAGCGCTACTTGGTTGAACTTGGTCCATGTCCATGAACGATCGGACTAAAGTATCCAGACCCTCGTGAGCATGATGAGCAAGTGCGTGGGTGTAATCATCAATACCGAGATGGTAACTGCCTGTAATGACCCAACCAAATTTAGTATGAAGTGCAATAGGATATGCGAAACCAAACTCTTGGCGTTCTCCAGTGTATATGTTCCAAAGTTGATCAGCTCCTAAAATCAGGTCGATTTCACCTGGTGTCCCAAATGTAGGGTCTGCTAAGGGTAGCTCAAAAATCTTTCCCCACATCGGGGTGTTCGACTCAATCCTCTGTGCTGGAATCGAGGATGTTAAAGTACTCATAATCAGACCTGTTACCACTACGGATGTTGTGCTTGTGCGCGAGAGCAGCGTGAACGTGGCGCGACCTCGAGTAACGCCAGCCGGGCTTGCACCTAGGCCAACAACTGGTATACGAGCATGCGTGCGCGACAGCCCTATCCGTTGAATAAACGACTCGGAGACCATCGTTATCGTCGAACCAGTATCCATCAAGATCCTGCAGGTTGTCTCATTGCCCCAGGAGTCGACTATAGTGGCTAAAATTGTTGGCAATATAGCTTGACTAGTGGCCAATACTCCTCTCTCCAATGTATGATGGCTGACCACGGCAGGATCAACCTCAGCAACATGCATGGGCGAGCGCAAGTTTGGGTCAGCGGATGTATTGACAGCAACACTCGGGGTGGTGCGAATCTCTTCTGGATGGACAAGAGTGTGGTGCCTCGACTTGCACAGACGGCACGTATTTGTGGAATTACAATCCCTTTACTTGATGAGATCGACTTAGGCAGTTGAAGCACAACTTACCCTCCATTGCAAATGTGCGACGATCCACGACGTTCATAGCTTTAAATTGAGTGCACACATACAGACTGTGTGGCCCGTGACAATATACGCAACCACGAGCAGATGTAGTTGGCACGTCCACATGATGAAAACTGCACGACGTTTGGGAGAATCATGAACTACTGTTAACTCTTGACAGGACTCCAGCGTATCAAACCGGGCGAAGAGAAAGGCGAACAGGTCATTTATGGTCACATTTTCCTTGCACGATTCACTGGACGTAGCCCAAGCTTCCTTGCATTCAGGGTCTAATTTTGAGAGCAAGATATGGATAAGCCATACATCGCGGCTGTCGCATTTCAGCGCGTGTAGACCACGTATACTCTCGTCCGCGGTGTCGACTATGTTACGCAACTCGATTATGTTTGAACTTTTTGCAGTTGGCAGCGAAAGAAAGTTTTGAATGAACGACCGCGCAATCAGTGATTTTTTATTATAACGATTTTTTAGCCTCTCCCATGCGTCCTGGTAATTATCGTCAGTAATGGGAATATGTTTAATCAGGGACAAAGCTTCACCATCTAGATACGACTTTAAATAATGGAACTTTTGACAGTTGGAAAGACTACTCTTCTTGTCGACTGAGCCTAAGAACAGGTCACTAAACTGACACCAATCTTCGTATCTTCCAGAAAATGTAGGAAGGCGTATTTTTTCGAACTGCAGCTCAGCGGGTCGCGCTGACTCCCGAATCTTCTCCAAAAGTTGTGTTTGTCCCTCAAATAGGCGTTCCACAGTACTAGATATCAGTAGATTTGACGAGTCGTGTCCATTATCGTGACTGCTCCGCTCACTTATGGCTCCAGTGAGAACGGCATGGGCACTATAAAACTTTCCCTCATATTCGGCGATATCCAAATTCGGATCCACAAATCCGTCTTCCCATTGTATTGAACTAAGTCCTCAGAGAGCTCCATAAAGCGGTTGAAAGTTGCAGCCAATCGGTCCAACTTGTGTTCTAATGTTTGCACAGACGTGCACGACTGTACAAACTCCCCAGCCTCAGTGGTCCCCGCTTAATTATCGATGTAGAGAGTCTTCATGACGACCAGCAATATCACTCAATATATTTCAAATAAAATTAGCGGAAAAAAAAAAAAGAAAAAAAAAAAAAAAGGGGGGGGGGGGGGGGGGGGGTTTTATTTTTTATGTTTTTTTTTTTGTTCAAAAAGAAAATATGGGGGGTTAAACGTTTTTGCACAGCGGGTTATATACAAAGCGGGGGTGACAATAGCGGTGCGATGATGAATACGCGTGCGGGTAATCTCAAGTATAGTTTGGTACTGACTCAACTCCACCAATAAAGTCGAGCCCAAAAGGGAATTAGAAGATCACGCGATGCGACACTCCAATACCAAGACGGTGCACATCGATGTCTTCGTGTGCAGCTGCGCGTTTTGGCTATACGCGTGAGAATGTTACAGTTAAGTTTTTGGACATAAGCAATAAGAACAGCGGGCAAACAATCGCGAGCATATGATTAGGGCAACTCTTATATGAATGAATATTGACTTAAAACTAAGCGATTAATTCCTCAACATACCGGCCCCCTGAACGAATGTTCAGTTAAAGGGAAGCACAGCAATTTTGGTGATAGGTCTCTTGTACACTCCTCGGGCAGTTTTTACGGTGACCACTCGAACTCTCTCGTCTGACCAGGATGAACTTCGGTGATGCGGCCAAGCAGCCACTTGCTAGGAGGTTGATTCGGCTCCTTCAGTACCACAAGCGTATCCACTGTTATGTTGTTGGTCTCCTGCTGCCATTTGGTGCGCGACTGCAAGGAAGAAAGGTATTCAAGATTCCAACGTTTCCAGAACCCTTGAACCTTGGCTTGCAGCTGTCTCCAACGCTGCAGTCTGTTAATGTTCACGTCCAAGAACGATGGCTCTGGCACCGACATATGAGGTTGACCTGTAAGAAAATGAGCGGGGGTAAGGGGATCCAGGCTGTGATCGCTGGGAGCGCACAGTGGGCGAGAGTTTAGTAGACCCTCAATCTGGGTTAAAACGGTGGAATATTCTTCGAAAGTTAATGCACTGCTCCCAATTACTCGGCGAAGGTGAAGTTTAATTGATCGTACGCCAGTCTCCCAAATACCTCCAAAATGCGGGGCAGACTGCGGAATGAAGTGCCAGTTGATTTCCTGACTCGTCAGAAAACTTGCAATGTCCTCATCTTGACTTTGAGATACAGCCATCCGTTGCATTTCCGTTAATTCCCGTCTGGCTCCGTGGAATGTTGTGCCATTGTCTGAGTATAAGTCGGATATAGGGCCACGTCGAGACCAGAATCGTTTGAAAGCTGCGATAAATGCGGAAGTCGTCAAATCACTGACGAGTTCGATATGAATTGCTTTGGTGGACAGACAAACAAAGATAGCAAACCAAGCTTTGCCAAACTTCGGTGTCCGACCTACCGATGTCTTGATAATAACTGGTCCAGCGTAATCCAATCCAGAATGCAGAAAACAGCGGGTGGGCTGAACCCGAAAAGCGGGAAGATCAGCCATGAGTTGTGTGCTCGTACCTTTACGCTGGAGGAAACAAATCTTGCAGTTGAATACGATTTTCCGGACTATGTTGCGGGCACCGAGAATCCAATACTTCTGTCTCAAAGTGTGGAACATAAATTCAACTCCAGCGTGTAGCGAAGTGACGTGCTGGTGTCTAGCTAATAAAACAGCGACTGGTGATTCCTTTGGTAGAAGTATGGGATGTTTTGCCTCGTAAGTTGCCATTGAATTGTCAATGCGTCCTCCTACGCGCATTGTTCCTTGGTCGTCAATAAATGGAGTGTAGCGAATCAGTTTGGATTTTTGAGAAAGTGGTCGTAAAGTGCTTAGCTGCTTGTACTCCACTTGGAAGAACTCCATCTGAACGTGTTTGATTATCCTAGAGCGTGCATATTGAAGCTCCCATGATGATAAAAACGATGACAGGCGTTCCTTGCAGCGAAGACGGTGTACAAAACGAAAGCAGTAGCTTATTGTCCGCAAGAGATGTGACCAGGAGGAAGCCTTGTTAATCATACATTGAAGATCATTTCCTTCATCGGAAATGTGTAGATTAACTTGAGGCTTGACCTTAACTTCCATGTGCGCAGCCTCCTCAGTCGACAGTGCAAACTTTGCCGTAGCAGGTGACCAAGTGAGCCGTGATTGTGAAAGCCACGGTGGTCCATTCCACCACAGTTGATGGTCTACAAGATCCCTCGGTAAAAGTCCGCGTGATGCACAGTCCGCGGGATTATCCCCAGTGCGAATGTGATTCCAGCAACTACGTGGACAAGCATCTAGAATCTCAGCAGTCCGATTGCAAACATAAGTGTTCCAAGTCCGAGGGGGCGATGAGAGCCAATGCAGCACAACTTCTGAGTCAGACCAACATGAGGTACTGGAAATAGGAATAGTTAGTGCTTGCTTAACCAGAGACATCAATTTTGAAAGAAGATGGGCTGCATTCAATTCGAGCCGCGGAATGGATACAGGTTTGATGGGCGCAACACGGGTTTTTGCGGCGATCAGTCTGACAACATAGTCCTTATTGAGTTTCACGCGACTGTAAATAACAGCGGCGTATGCATGAGAAGATGCATCGGCAAATCCATGCAGCTCCGCTGCTTGAAGTGGTGAGGATATGTAGCGAGATATGCGACACGTGTCCAATAAATGAACTTCTGCTACAAACTGTTGCCAACGTGAACATAACTGCACCGGTAGTGGCTCGTTCCATTCGACCGAGCTCAGCCAACTATCTTGAAAGAGAACCTTTAGAAATACAGTACTGGGGGCAAGCAAACCCAAGGGATCGTAGATCTTGGCAAGCTCCGACAGCAAAATCCGTTTTGTCAGAGCAGTTGTGACGTCGGGAATGGTCAGCTTGAAGGAAAGATTGTCAGCAGCCGGGTCCCAACGTATTCCAAGAACCTTCACATGTTGAGCTGGGCTCTCTTCTTCTAGAGCTTCAAGGGGGTACTCACAAATGTCCTTTGGCAGCGATTGTAGTAGTGGCCAACAGTTTGAACTCCACTTTCGAAGTTTAAATTGAGCTCGACTCAATAACAAAATCAATTCATCCTTGAGTGCAATGAGTTCGTTGATATTATCGCATCCCGTAGGAATATCATCCACGTACGCGTCCCTTACCAACACCGCAGCAGCATTCGGATACAACTCGGCATGATCTTGAGCGATTTGCTTGAGAACTCTAACAGCCAGAAACGGTGAAGACGCTAAACCATAAGTCACGGTCAGAAGTCGGTAATGATCAAGTGTAGCAGTCTCCTCCTTTCGCCAGACAATACGTTGATACTGCGTGTGTTCTTCTGAAACTAGGATGCCTCTAAACATTTTCTCAATGTCTGTACAGAACACATAACGATGCTGTCGGAACCGTAAACAGACTCCAAGTAAATCCCTTTGAATAGGTGGTCCAATGTGTAGTCGTGAATTGAGTGAATATCCCTTGCAGTCCTCCCAGAGCCATCAAACACAACTCGGCATCTCGTAGTGGTGCTGTCTGGTTTAAATACTGCGTGGTGTGCTAAATAATTGTGACTGGCGAGATCCTCGGCTAAGGTAGTAGGAGGAATCAACTCCATGTGTCCTCGTTGTAAGTAATCCTCCATAAAGTCGACATATTGTTGTTTGAGTGCCGGAAACTTTCGAAATTTCCGTTCGAGAGAAGAAAAGCGGCGTATGGCTTGCGGCAATGTGGATCCCATCGGCGGAGCGGAATCCTTGAATGGATATTGGACGACGTACACTCCATCGTCTCTGCGGGAATGCGTTTGAACGAAGTGTTGTTCAGCGGGATCACTAGCGTCAATGGTAGCGCTACTTGGTTGAACTTGGTCCATGTCCATGAACGATCGGACTAAAGTATCCAGACCCTCGTGAGCATGATGAGCTAGTGCGTGGGTGTAATCATCAATACCGATATGGTAACTGCCTGTAATGACCCAACCAAATTTAGTATGAAGTGCAATAGGATATGCGAAACCAAACTCTTTGCGTTCTCCAGTGTATATGTTCCAAAGTTGATCAGCTCCTAAAATCAGGTCGATTTCACCTGGTGTCCCAAATGTAGGGTCTGCTAAGGGTAGCTCAAAAATCTTTCCCCACATCGGGGTGTTCGACTCAATCCTCTGTGCTGGAATCGAGGATGTTAAAGTACTCATAATCAGACCTGTTACCACTACGGATGTTGTGCTTGTGCGCGAGAGCAGCGTGAACGTGGCGCGACCTCGAGTAACGCCAGCCGGGCTTGCACCTAGGCCAACAACTGGTATACGAGCATGCGTGCGCGACAGCCCTATCCGTTGAATAAACGACTCGGAGACCATCGTTATCGTCGAACCAGTATCCATCAAGATCCTGCAGGTTGTCTCATTGCCCCAGGAGTCGACTATAGTGGCTAAAATTGTTGGCAATATAGCTTGACTAGTGGCCAATACTCCTCTCTCCAATGTATGATGGCTGACCACGGCAGGATCAACCTCAGCAGCATGCATGGGCGAGCGCAAGTTTGGGTCAGCGGATGTATTGACAGCAACACTCGGGGTGGTGCGAATCTCTTCTGGATGGACAAGAGTGTGGTGCCTCGACTTGCACAGACGGCACGTATTTGTGGAATTACAATCCTTTACTTGATGAGATCGACTTAGGCAGTTGAAGCACAACTTACCCTCCATTGCAAATGTGCGACGATCCACGACGTTCATAGCTTTAAATTGAGTGCACACATACAGACTGTGTGGCCCGTGACAATATACGCAACCACGAGCAGATGTAGTTGGCACGTCCACATGATGAGAAACTGCACGACGTTTGGGAGAATCATGAACTACTGTTAACTCTTGACAGGACTCCAGCGCATCAAACCGGGCGAAGAGAAAGGCGAACAGGTCATTTATGGTCACATTTTCCTTGCACGATTCACTGGACGTAGCCCAAGCTTCCTTGCATTCAGGGTCTAATTTTGAGAGCAAGATATGGATAAGCCATACATCGCGGCTGTCGCATTTCAGCGCGTGTAGACCACGTATACTCTCGTCCGCGGTGTCGACTATGTTACGCAACTCGATTATGTTTGAACTTTTTGCAGTTGGCAGCGAAAGAAAGTTTTGAATGAACGACCGCGCAATCAGTGATTTTTTATTATAACGATTTTTTAGCCTCTCCCATGCGTCCTGGTAGTTATCGTCAGTAATGGGAATATGTTTAATCAGGGACAAAGCTTCACCATCTAGATACGACTTTAAATAATGGAACTTTTGACAGTTGGAAAGACTACTCTTCTTGTCGACTGAGCCTAAGAACAGATCACTAAACTGACACCAATCTTCGTATCTTCCAGAAAATGTAGGAAGGCGTATTTTTTCGAACTGCAGCTCAGCGGGTCGCGCTGACTCCCGAATCTTCTCCAAAAGTTGTGTTTGTCCCTCAAATAGGCGTTCCACAGTACTAGATATCAGTAGATTTGACGAGTCGTGTCCATTATCGTGACTGCTCCGCTCACTTATGGCTTCAGTGAGAACGGCATGGGCACTATAAAACTTTCCCTCATATTCGGCGATATCCAAATTCGGATCCACAAATCCGTCTTCCTCATTGTATTGAACTAAGTCCTCAGAGAGCTCCATAAAGCGGTTGAAAGTTGCAGCCAATCGGTCCAACTTGTGTTCTAATGTTTGCACAGACGTGCACGACTGTACAAACTCCTGAGCCTCCGTAGATGCACGAGTTAGTTGGGATTTGCACGCACCACGCTGCTGAATTATACGATGTACGAGAGTCTTCATGACGACCAGCAATATCACTCAATATATTTCAAATAAAATTAGCCGGAGATCCGGCTCGAAGGACCAAAAATTGCTTATGGTTGCGAATGAGTGGACTGTATTAATCTTTATGTATTTTTATTTGATTCATATGTAATATTAGTGGTTTAAATGTTATTTGCACAGCGGGTTATATACAAAGCGGGGGTGACAATAGCGGTGCGATGATGAATACGCGTGCGGGTACTCTCAATAGTATAGTTTGGTACTGACTCAACTCCACCAATAAAGTCGAGCCCAAAAGGGAATTAGAAGATCACGCGATGCGACACTCCAATACCAAGACGGTGCACATCGATGTCTTCGTGTGCAGCTGCGCGTTTTGGCTATACGCGTGAGAATGTTACAGTTAAGTTTTTGGACATAAGCAATAAGAACAGCGGGCAAACACTCGCGAGCATATGATTAGGGCAACTCTTATATGAATGAATATTGACTTAAAACTAAGCGATTAATTCCTCAACACTTATATTAAAACGAGGTTGGCGAAAAACCTCCAGCTGAACCCTCCCCGGGGGTGCCGGCTGTACAATGGGCACTGCATTATCCCGGATAGGGTAATGCATTGCCGCTTGCTCTGTCCATGGTAATGCATTGTCTAGCTAACGCAATGGTCTAGGTTTTCCCGACCTAAAATTGAGGGAACTTAACTATGGCCATGGCTGGAGGTGCCAGGCGGATAGGCATAAAACGCTAGGGGTTGGTCCCCCCGATAAATGTTAACCATATGTACCGGAGCAAGGATCGAATAGGGACTGGGATGTCAGTCCAAACGTC